CCATTTTGTTTTTTTTTTTTTTTTTTTTTTTTTTTTTATTTATTATAATTTTTTTTTTTTTTTGCTACAACAACTATAGGAATTAAGCAGCCAGCAGGAGTACTTGAAGCTGAAGGCACGTTATGAGGCCCTACAACGATCCCAGAGGTACGAATGTCCTAATGGGCCTTCAAATGTGGCTGATTACTGATTTAAGTCAATGCTGTATTTAAGTTTTACCCTCTCATCTCAGGAACCTCATGGGAGAAGATCTTGGCCCTCTAAACAGTAAAGAGCTCGAGTCTCTTGAAAGACAGCTTGATTCGTCCTTGAAGCAAATCAGATCAACAAGGGTATTCAACTTTCCATCTTTTGCCATTTACCATATCAAATCAAATTATAGATATAATAAGTGCATAATAAGTGCCCAATCTAGAAAAAAATTCCCATAATCAAGTCCATTTTGAAAGCGTTATTTTATTCAATTCGTGCTCTGACTCTCTGAGTAACATATATCCAAGAGTAGTAGGAGTGAACAGACATTCAATACAAATATTAACTTGGGCGCAAGAATCAAGATTACTGATTATTAAAGTTGAAAGGGTAAGTAAGTTATCTCTTAATCTATATATAAGAAAAATAATTAGTTTCACATGTATTATGAAAGATAGATAAATATATTTAAATTTTATGATTTTATATAAAATTTATACTAATACTCACTTTATTTTTTATTATAAAAAATTTGATTTTATACATATTAAAAAAATAATTATCTATTTTAAATTTTATTAATTTTATAATAATCTTTCTAAATTATTTGTGTTATAAATATAAAAAAAATAGTACAACTAAAATATCACACATTAAAAGAAAAATATTTTAAAAGATATCATTAAATGAGAAAAATAATTAAAATTTATTTATATTTAAAAATAAAAAATGTGTAATTTTTATTTATTTATAATAGAGAATAGAAGAAATATATTTAATAAAATATTTTTAATCACATTTATTATAGATAATATTTATTTTTTATTTTAAGAGTATTTTTGGATAAAAAGTACTAAATAAATGAAATTTATTTATATTTGAGTAAAAAAAAATTTAAGTACTTCTTTTTTTGCTTATATATAGATTAAGAGGGAGTACTACAGAACTCCTCTTCCTTTTATATTTGGATATTTATTCTTTAGAAATTTTAAGAGAAGATAATTGTTAAAATATGTAGTATGAATTTAAGGATAAAAAATGTCTAATAAAAAAAGAAAAACAAAAAAAGGTAATTATCAAAATTTATCCTTTTATAATAGATATTGATATTGATCTGTTAATAAAGACTCAAACTTCTGTAATTTTAGATATATATATATATGTCAATCTCAATATGTAATTCTTAAAGTAAAAATTATTTTTATTATTTCAACTCCTTGTCAAAAACTTGACCACACATTGTACGAGTATATGCATTTCATTTTTGTAAGTTTGTTTCCTTTACAGACCCAGTTCATGCTGGATCAGCTCTCTGATCTTCAACACAAGGTATGATAACAATTTTGCTTTTCTTTGCCATCATCTGCGTTTGCTCACCAATTTATGCTACTTGTGTAGGAAAACTTACTATGTGAGGCTAATAGGTCTCTCAGACAAAGGGTAAGTTACAAATCATCGAGTAACCAATATATGTGAAATGCATCATCCCTCAAATCAAGTCCAAGATACTTATAATTAATACATTTAATTCTTGGACTCTGTTTTCACTTTTCAATTCAACAAAATAGAATGACCAAGGAAAAGAAACATGTTACCTTCTTTTAGCGAAAAAAAATATGGAAAAGAACCATGCTATAGACCAAAACATTGCAGTTTATTGATGGGTATAAGTGACATTTTGTGCTGTTTAGCAGTTGGAAGGGTATGAAATAAATCCACTCCAACTGAATCCCAGTGTTGAAGATATGGGATATGGCCGCCATCCGTCGCAAACTCACGGTGACCTCTTTCAACCACTAGAGTGTGAGCCAACGTTACAAATTGGGTATGCGCTGTTCACAATATAATTCTCGTAAATCAAATAGTCCACAACGGTAGATGCATGCATTGGTTCACTAGTAAGGAATATATATGCTTAGGACTTAGGAGTGCAACTTTGATGTAGATATGATTAGTATAGAAGTAGGGTCGGTCACATAATGTCGTTGATTTTGTTGGCATGATATAACTTTTATAGATTTAAATTACTTTATAATAGTGATTTTCTTTAAGCGCAGATATCAGGCTGATACAGTGTCAGTGGTGACAGCTGGCCCAAGCATGAGCAATTACATGGCAGGATGGTTACCTTAATTAGTAAGAGGGGTGGGTGGCGTTTCCTACAGAGGATTCACTGCACCAGCACATTTGCAGTTCCAATTTTATTTGAAAATGGAAGGAAAAAAAAAAGGTAGAAAATTGCTTTGGGATGTAACGAAGCTGTAAGTGTCTACCGTGTATGAAATAGGGACAAAGTTAAGCGGTGTTGTTTGTGTGCGCTTTCATAAACTGAGTACTTCTTTGTTTCAGTTACTGGTGTTCTTCCCTTATAAATTATAATAATAAGCTCTTATGATAGTTAGAAAAATCTAAAAAAATTGTAGCTACTTTTTGGTTCAATAGTTAAATGAATTTAGAGTTTAGACACATTAATCAATATTTTGTTTAAATGAGGAGTCAAATAAAAAAATCAAAATGGTAGGAATAGAGATAATTATATAAAATGAAAAAAATTATATTATTTGATGAATAAAGTTAGAAGAAAAGGGAGATAGTTTCTCTCTATTACATGGATGAATAGAAATAATAGTACTTATTATAATAGTTAAAAATGTAATTTTAATATAATAATTTTTCCTAACATAATTATTTATTAAAAACTATATTATATTTTTAAAAAATGAGAAAAGATAGATAATATTAATCTCCTTTTATTTTAATTTAAGATGAAATATTTTTCGGTGTATTATGTGAAAAATACTTTCTTTTTTATTTTTTAAAATATCAGAAATTTTATATATTTATTTTTTTTCCTTTTTTTTGTTTTTTTTTATTTTATTTCTTATTAGTGGAATCAAGACTTTTCATGCTTCTATTTATTTTCTATAAAAAATAAGAATTTTGAGAACAATTATATATCAACAATGTGAAAAAAGATGAATGTCTTATAGTGTGAGTGAGATAAGAGAGAGAGAGAGAGAAAAAAATAAAAAATAATTATATTAATAATGAAAATTTTTTATTTACCGGTGAATACTTAAAAGGAAGTTAAAGGACTAAAATGTAAAAATAAGAGTTAAAATAAAAATAAATGTGTTTATTTTTTTTATAAAAATTTGAAAGAGAAAACAATTCCATTAAAAATTAAGTCCTTTTATCTAAACTAAATTAATGTACAAAAGATATTCTATTGAATTATTTTCAAAAATAATAATAGATAAATATTAAAAGTACAAAGATAATTATTTATGGACTAAGAAAATTTAGAAAATAAAATCTATATAAATAAATTTAAAAAATTATATAAAAAAATTAAAATAGTTCATTACAAATACATGACACCTTTATTATTGTTAAAGAAAAAAAAAAAGACAAACGGATAATGACGTCAAAACTCTTTACTAGAATCAGAATCAGAAAAAAAAAAATAGTAACAGAAGTGATAATAATCGATTGCAGCCACAAATTGCCCTGAATCTGGTGCCAATGACCTCAGCACACATCTAATGGTTATTAACAATTATAATTTGTATTTAGATTGTGCCTACTTTATTTTTAAAAAATGACATCACGATCCAGTTATCGATACTGCTTTTCAGTAATAAATATGAATGCACGAGTCGAGAAAAACATTTTGGAAATTTTTTTTAATTAGTTTATTTTATGTGAAAAACAATTTTTTTTACAGTTAGAATTAAAATATTATTAAAAAATAAAAAGCAATAGGGTCATTGTTTGGACGCGTGTCAATTCGGAAATCGACACGCTAATGGTATAAGAACAGATTTTGTTGCACACACAACCAAGTGGTAAACCGTAACAGAACAGAATGGGGAGAGATAAAAAGAAGTAAAGAGAGAAAAGAAGTTAGGGTTGAAAGAATGGGGAAGAAGAAGGTGGAGATAAAGCGAATTGAGAACAAAAGCGCTCGGCAGATAACATTCTCGAAGAGGCGCAATGGATTGATGAAGAAAGCTCGCGAGTTGTCCGTTCTATGCGATGCGCAAGTGGCGGTGGTCATCTTCTCCAGCACCGGGAAGCTCTTCGAACTGTGCACCGGTGAAAGGTACACGCAAATCGTACAGTACCGTTGAGACTGCTTGGGGTCGCGTTACGTTGTTGCACATGAAATTAATTGATTCCGTTTTATGCCTTTTCTGTATTCTTTTGAGTTTTGATTTGTTTTGCTGTGCTTGCTTTTCCATTGGTTGGAAGCTCAAAATGGAAAGAATTACTATTGGAAATAGTAAGTATCCAATAGCGAGTTGAGTGGTGTCATTTGTCACTGGTACAGTAGTAAAACGTATTCCTTCCGTTTTTTATTTATAATGATTTAAGATTTTGCACGTAACTTAAAGATTAATATTTTAATTTTTAAATATATTTATTACTTATTTTTTATTTTTTTATAATATTTTATTAGAAATATATTACTTTTTTAAATGTAATATTAATTTTATATAAGTAATTAATAAAAAAATAGGTAAGTATTAAAAATAAATAGATACATTATTCAGTAAATATATATTAATTATAAGAATAAAAATAAAAAAAATTAATAAATTATTAATTTTAATAAAATAATAATAAAAAAATAATAAATTTTGACAAAATAATTATAAATAAAAAACGGAGGGAATTTCCTGGTCTGCTCTGCTTTCTGCACTAACCAATAGTGCCGTCTGTTTATGCAGCATTTTAGCACGTTTCTCCTGCTACTGTCCACTGCAAGACATCTTTTAATATATTTTATTAGATTAAAATATTCTTTTTGATCACTTATTTTACTATCATTAAAATATTTTTAAATTTTTTTTTATAATTTTAATGATTTTATTTTTTAGTTTTTATAATTTAAAATATATATTTTTAGTTTTTCTACTCTTTTTATTTTTTATTTTTTAGTTATTATAATTTAAGATGAATTTTTTTAATCTTTATATTTTTAACATTAAATATTGGTGTTAACATGATAAAAATATTTCAACAATAAAAATTTCAAGTAAGACTCAGAAGACCTAACTTTGAGGAAAGCAAAAATAAATCTGACATTAACCTTTTACTTTTATTTTTTATAGATATTTTTAATCTTTATATTTATAATTTTTTATAATTAGTTTAACCTTGTTCCGGCCAAACGGTGGACTAGGGTTTTTTTCTAGATCGTGCCTTAGAGCCAGAGCATTCAAAAGTGTAATCTGCCTACTCAACTCTAGGATTTTGGGTTTTATGGTATGTCGTTCGTGGGTCTCTTGGGTCCCGATGATGACGGGATTTTCCTAACCGTTATTATCTTGATGGCGCGGGAATAACGGGAGCAAGTTTAGTCGGTTTTTGATCGACTGGGACCATACCGAGGGCCCAGTCGGGCTCTGACTGATCGGGTCCATACTGAGGACCCCCTCGATTTTATGCCGAGTGGTCTTCTCAGCCCTCGTAAACGAGAGGGATCAAGTTCCCCAGGTCCAGTCGAGTCTTGACCGACTAGGCCTATGCTGAGAGCCCGGTGAGAATTAATGCCAAGTGGGTGCAGTCGTCCTATCGCCGACCAGGGAGGGAGATCGGATTTCAGTCTAGACGGTACACTTGCCTTCCAGCCGCGAGCCTATAAGGCGAAGAGGGTAACCTAGTTGGGTGTTTTCCCGAATAGGAGGTCAAGTCGGATTTTCTCCTGGACGGTACAAACCTCTACATTAATTTTTTTTTTCAATAACATTATCACTGTTGATACTTGATAGTGATATTCAACTTTATGTTTCTATCATAGAATTTATTTTGTTGTCTCTTTTTTATTCTTACCTACTATATCTATTGTTAAAATATATATTTTTTTAAATTTCATAATTAAGATTTTTTACTACATCAACACAAAATAATAATGTTATAAAAAATTATCAACATAGACTAAAAAGGATTAAAAATGATAAATATAAAATTAAAAAAAATATAGGGTTAAAAATGATTCATAAAAATAAATATAAAAATTATAAATATTTATTTTAAACTATAAGTACTAAAATAAAAAGTAAATAAAATTATAAAAACTAAAAAAAAATTATTTTAACTTATTTATTATTTAATGCTATTAATATAAATGTTAACACGATTATTGTATATGATCGTTTATAATTAAATGATAATATGAGTTTTTTTCTTGGTATTGATATAATGTCAACTAATGCAAAATTATTGTTAGTATATTTTTTAAGACAACTAGAATAAAATTTAACACACTTATCATATAGGACCGTTTACGATTAAATGATAGAATACAAAATTTTGAGCCATAAAACACTGCACACGAACACCAAGTCATCATGTCATGGAAGCACCGCATACAAACACCTAATCACCAAGTCATGAAGCATCACACACGGGAACTAAGTTATGAAGCACCACATGTAAGAAGTTGACAACTTTAATGAAAACATTATTTATTAATTTCAATATTAAATGAAATTATTTACTTAATTAAAGAATAATTAATAATTAATATATGCATTGACATTTTAATTTTTTTATTATCATTTAATTACGAAATCATGTATATATAAGTGTTCTTATTATAAGTCCGTTTTAATGCTTGTTGGGCCGTCACGATTTTATCCTTTATAAAATGTCTTGGTGGGTTAAGGAGGGAGAGTGTTTATAAACTACTCTTAATATCGACTCTTAAGTGATGTGAGACTTTTTAGGCATACCTGAACAAGCCCTTCAGTCGATGTTAAAGAGCACCGCATCTGAGATATTATCCGCTTTGGTGCTTATTAGGTAGTCACAATTTTGTCTTTTAAAAGACGTTTCGGTTAGTTAAGGAGGGAAAATATTTATAAATTATCTTTAGTCTCGACTCTAAATAATATGAGACTTTTTACACACATTAGAACAATACATTTTTAAATTTTTACGAAAATTCACTCTCCATGAAGTCTTTTGGGTTTCAATCAAATTGTCTAGGTAATTTGGTATATGAGCCCTACATGTTTTTGTTGAAGTTAGTGTTGCCAATCGCGGATTGGAAAAATTGCGAAAAGTTAAAAATATCATATAGCGAATGGTTTCCTTTAAAAAAAAATTAAAAAAATACAAAAAAAAAAAAAAAAATATATATAAACTTCAGAAAAACAATACGCCCGTATCATGTTCAGTATGCCCGTACCAAAATTAGGGTTATGAACAAAT